GGGGGTGGGAGAGGGGGAGGGGGAGGAGGGGTCGGGCGAGGGCGTGGCGGGGGGCGTGCTGGGGCTGCCGCTGGCGGTCGATGCATCCCGGGCGGCCTGTATGCACCGACAAACGAACAACACATGTGTGTGTGTGTATGTGTGTATGTGTATATGTGTGTGTGTGTGTGTTGGTCCATGGCGTGGTGCAGTAGATGTCCCTACCTTCTGCTGCAGCTTGGCGACTTCGGCCTTGAGCTGCGCATTCTCCTCCTCCAGCTGGCTGATTGTGGCCTGCAGACAGACAGACAGACAGAACAGACTTGTGGATAATAAACTTTAAGAAGGATCGGCGTGTCTGTCGTACACTGACCTCCAACTCGTCTATCTCCGCCAGGAGCATCCTCTGCACGCAACACACCACACACAGACAGACAGATGAGTGAGTCGGTGTGCGGTATGTCAGCTGTGCCGCCCACACCCTCTCTGTCGACTGACGTGCCCACCTGGTTCTCTTTTGCCGTGCGGCAGTTCTTTACGTGGAGGTCCTGCCACGCAGTGTTGCGGATGGCGAGGGCCTTGTACCGCTCGTGCCATTCGGAGCACTGGGTTGCACGTCACACACAGACAGATGTCGCAACCATGATTTCAGTGGGTGCGATGCGTTTCTCGGTTCCCTCCTGACCATGCAGTAAGTTGCGCTCTTCGTACAGCTTCACCAACTCCTGACGGCTCAAGCTACTCAACCCTGCGACACACAGAGATCGCATAATGCCGTTCAGCGTCACCCCCCTCACACACAGAGGAGCCATGCAGCTTTCTGCCTGTCCCGCCGCCCCTCTCTGCATCCAATTCACTGCCCTTGAGGCCCACTTACTATCTGCAAGGCGCGCCTCCGCCTCGTTGTCCCTCTCGGCGGCCTCGATGACCTGCTGGAGGCTCAACATAGGGCCCCTCATCGTGCGTCTCTTGCTATCTCTTCTGCAGCTCCCTGTCGATCCCCCGTTCGCCCTTTTGCAGCCCTAACAGATTCGGTGATCGTTTAGACTTCTTGAGGATAGATAGCCTCGATAGCCCTCCCTTGTCGGCAGCAGATTGACCGGCAATAATCAACCATGGCGGACCCGTCGATGCATGGCGTGGTGCAGTAGATGTCCATACCTTCTGCTGCAGTTTGGCGAGTGCGGCCTTGAGCTCCGCGTTCTCCTCCTGCAGCCGGCTGATTTTGGTCTGCAGACAGACAGACAGACAGACAGACAGAACAGACGTGTGGATAACAAACACTAAGTAGGATCGGCGTGTCTGTCGTACACTGACCAGCAGCTTCTTCTGCACGCAACACACTGCACACACGCAGACAGGCAGGCAGACAGACAGACAGATGAGTGAGTCGGCGTGCGGTATGTCAGCTGTGCCGCCCACACCCTCTCTGTCGACTGACGTACCCACCTTGTTGTTCTTTGCGGCGTCGACGTCCTTAGTGAGCTGCCGGTGCAGCATCTCGCAGTGTTCCTGCCACGCAGTGTTGCGGATGGCGAGGGCCTTGTACCGCTCGTGCCATTCGGAGCACTGGGCTGCACGTCACACACAGACAGATGTCGCAACCATGATTGCAGTGGGTGCGATGCGCTTCTCGGCTCCTCCCTGACCATGGAGAAGGTCGCGCTCTTCTTGCAGCTTCACCAACTCCTCACGGCTACAGCTAAGAAGCCCTGCCACACACAGAGATCGCATAATGCCGTTCAGCGTCATCCCCCCACCCCCCTCACACACAGAGAGGAGCCATGCAGCTCTCTGCCTGTCCCGCCCGCCCCTCTCTGCATCCAATTCACTGCTCTTGAGGCCAACTTACTATCTGCAAGGCGCGCATCCGCCTCGTTGTCCCTCTCGGCGGCCTCGATGACCTGCTGGAGGCTCAACATAGGGCCCATCATCGTCAGGTCTCCTTACTTTTCCTTCTGCAGCAGCTCCCTGTCGATCCCCCGTTCGCCTCCCTCCGACCTCACGCTCGCCCTCGTCGGTGGGATTCAACTCTCTTTCAAGCTGCAAACTGCAGAGGACGCACATCCATGGACAGCAAAGATCTCTGCCGTTCGCCCTCCCGCCTTCAGCCTTCGGTGGCGGAAGTTCTGCCTTCTCGGCTGTGCGCACCTCGAGAGCTTCGACAGGTCCGCCATGGTTGATGGCGGCCGGTCCCTGGGCCGCCGACAAGGGCTATCTTTCCTATAGAAGTCGCTTCAGCAATCTGTCTTAAGGCTGCAATGCCTTCGTGTGCAAGCTTAAGGGCGAACGGGGGATCGACAGGCAGCCAGTGCTCAAGAAGAAAAGGCAAGAGAGGCGACGATGCGGCCCTGATTTCCTGCAAAGTGTCCTTAATAAATTCACAGTCTCGAGTTCTCGACGACCCCCAACCCTTGACCCTAAACCCTGCTGACCGCAATTTTTGGCTGATCGTGGGTTTCTGCGCGATTTGCGTGAGGGTGTGCGGGCGGCCGCGAGGCCACGATGTAGTGCAGATGAAACGGCAACATGGCTGACGGAGAAGAAAGTCGCGCATTCTACCCGTCACCCAGCCTCTCCCTGGCACTGCGCGACGACAGTTGCCAGCTGCTGGGGCGCGTTCAGCGACTCGCAGACGCAGCCATATCCTTCGACGAGAGAGGCAAGCCGACCACACTACACACACGGCAGGAAGGATCCAGATCCATGAATTCATTGCCTGTGATCTTCTGTGACTGTGGATGTTGGTGTGCAGAAGGGGTTCTCCACATTTTCGGTAGTGATGCGGCTCAGACCATAGCGGATGGCTACCTCACGCTGCTGGAGCAGCTGCAGCACAGCGATGGCTCCATCGACCCAGCCAACTTCCCAGCACTGCTCGACAGCTGCTCGACGATCAGCGTCCCGCACGAAGCCGTTGGCGGTGTGATAGGTCCGGTCCGGTGCACAGAAGAGGGAGGCGACACATGCACACGTATGGCTGCACGTCTGCGAGTGCTCTGTGTGTGTGCCGTCGGTGTTGCAGGGTATTCTGATGACGAGTGCGCCAACCTGGAGAGGCTGGGCGGTGTCCATCAGGTGTTGGTGTGCAGGGTCAGACCACAGGAGGAGGCACGGGTGGGCGGCAACCTGGTGGCCATCTACGGAGCCACGTGGGCGAATACACATGGACGTCCGTATATGTGGGCTTCTGTGCTGTTCTGTGTGTGTCTGTCTGGTTGTGTGGGTATCAGGGCGAATCGTTGTGCGTGTGAGCTGCACCTGATGCGGCAGATCGAGTCGATTGTGCCGGGATACTTCTCAGGCCGCTCACGTAACCCATTGCCAGACCCAAACCACATCGCCATCACCCTCTATGTATCCCCGTGTGCTGCCTCTGTGTGTGTGTGTGTTTGTCATGCCAGCGTTTCGGTTGGGAGGGCGTGAGGGATTCCCAGACAAGTACGACGAGCATTATGGTGCGACGGAGGACTTCGGCAAAGACTGGCGGCGGCTCGGCCCCTCACAAAGCCTGGCTGTGGAGCACGCCAAACCGAGCATTGCACGGGCGGCGGGCGGAATCATTGAGGTCCACCTTCACACGCACACGCAGACTGCGCCGTCACTCTGTCTGTGTGGTGGGTGGGTGGCTGAGTGCAGGTGTTGTCGGGGTTAGTGGTGATGGCGGGTGGCCTACTGGCCCGCCTCCGTATGCGAGAGTATCTCAACTTCTGGCTCATGGCGAGAGATCAGCACGACTGGGATGGAGATCACATGTACAATAGGTCGGGAGCAGAACACAACACAACACAACACAACACATCCCCAAAACCACGCGCACGCACACATAAGGACTGGGTTGGTGTGGTGTGGTGTGGTGTGTGCAGGGGCGATGTAGCTGTCGTGTTGGTGCCACCCGGTGTGTCCGCGGCGGACGTGCAGGCCATCAGCAGGGAGGTCGAGACAACAGCCGCCGTGCTGTGCCTTCAGGACACGACCACCGCCCAGTAGGCACTCAAGACGTGATCGATACATAACCAGCAGCCAATCCACACATGTGATGTGTGCATTCCTTTGCAGGGGCGCAGAGGGCCGTGTGTTCGTCCTCAGCCATATCGACAGTGAGCGACAACACGCGGTGAGCCTCTTCCATAGCCGATTCTCAAACGCCGATGGCGCCTTCGCATTCAGCGACGAGGCATCCAGGTCACGCCACACGCTGGCATCCCTCACATTTGCGGCCTCTTTGTGTGTGTGTGTGTGTGTGTGTGCAGTCCAGAGTCCCCCGCCGCCGCGCCTTCCGAGTACTACAGCACCGGCAGCGTCGACATTCACCTCGCCCGGCCGACTCTCGAGGTGTGGAGGGACCAGCCCAAATGGCTCAGACGCGTCGAGAAATCCACGGGGGTCTCCCTGGCCGTCAACAGTAGACCAGCAGCACCGACCAGACAGACAGACAGACAACAGGAAGACCACACCCCACACGAGGAAAGGTGTGTGTGTCTGTGTGTGTGGGGCTGGGGTATATGTAGGTGTGGAGTCGTACATTCGTGCGACCGGCAGCCCGGCTCAGCTCAAGAGGGCGGAGGGGTTCATCAAGCTGGGCATCCCCTCCCTGACGGTTCGCAAGACCGTTCACCTGCGCGAGATCCCCGCGCTCAACGACGTCCGCACCACGCTCACCATTCCCATGGAGTTTCAGAAATACGTCATCGGAGGTACGCCCAGACATACACACAGACACACAGAGAGAGAGAGAGAGAGAGAGAGAAAGCCGTGGTGTGCTCAGCTGGAGGCGTCCTTCCTCTCTCTCTCTCTCTCTCTGTGTGTGTGTGTGTGTGTGTGTGGATGTGTGCAGATTTCCACAACTTTCGGGAGGGTTTGAGGATAATGGACACATACGACTGCTGGGTGCTGCCCGTCACGCAAAGCAAGAAGGCCACCTTCGCCAGGGAGCAGAGCGACCCCCAACGCACCAGACAAATCGCCATATTCGGCACTCAGTGAGCACCTACCTACCCATGACACACAACACAAAGCCCACACATACGTGCTGCGCATCTGTGTGTGGGTGTGGGTGTGTGCAGGCGAGCTCGTGAGGGCGCCAAGCTGCAGATAATGAGGATCATTGAGAGCCATTGCGAGGGGTATTTCACCAGCAGTACGTGCCACCCATCAATCACATCACACCGCTCCACCACGCACACGATTTGTTTTCTCTCTGTATCTCTCTCTGTGTGTGTGTGTACGTGTGTGTGTGTACGTGTCTTGTTTGTCGCTGATCAGGTTTGCCGCACCTCTACCAGCATGACGCCACTGACGGCTTCGCCATCGACACACTCAGACTCACCCCAGAGTGAGTCGATGGCATGACCCGCCACACACGACACAACACAACACATGACTGTCCCTATGTGTCGGTGTGTGTCAGCATCAAATCGTACCTCCTGAGCCGCGGCAGGACGGCTGAGCGCATCAGCCGGGCGGCGGGCGGCATCTTCCAGATCGTGAGCAGCCACGCCTTCCTGGCGGGCACCCGGCGCGAGCGGCAGCTGATGCACGAGTACCTCCAGATACAAATGGCCATGAAGCGGCATGCCAACATCCGACAGCAATTCAATGTCGACACACGGTGAGTAGTGCTCTTGTCTTGTGAGGCTGGGGGCGGAGTATCATCTGGCAGATGTGCCTGTGTGGGTGTGGGTGTGGGTGTGCAGGGACGATGTGACTGTGGTGCCTTGGGGGGAGGGCGGGCGGGGCGGCGGTGACCCCATTGCACTCTGTCAGAAGGTAGCCGACAAGAGCAAGACTTTCTGTGCCGTAGGGGATGCCTGGTACGCCCGCCCCTCAATAATCAGCCACACACCATCCCCCACTCACTTAGTCGTTGTGTGTCGTTTTTTCAGCATGATGGTGTTTGGTGCTGACGCCGCGGAACGGGGCCGTGCTGTGGCCATTCTGGAGGATCGGGTGCCCGAAGACCCACCTGCTGACGCACAAGACACCAGCGGCAATGGTCATGGTGTTGAGGATGGCGGACCCTCACGTGCACCCAAGGCACCCGCACGATTCCCGGGGTAAGCACGTGCGGCGACAACAGCACGGCTGTCTTTGTGCATTCCTGTCCGCTCTATTGTGTTGTGTGCAGCCCGACACAGCAGCAGCAGCAGCAGCAGCGGCAGCAGCAGCAGCAGCGGCAGCAGCAGCAGCGTGACCATAACGATTGGGGTGCGGGCAGCAGTAGTGCCACGGGTGTGGGCGGCGGCGGCGGCGGTGGTGGTGGTATGAATGGTGGGAATGGTGGGAATGGCGGGCGCGTGTGGGAGGGACAAGACGACGTGGGGCAACAACAGGTGGGGCAGGGTGATCCTTCGCCGCAACACGACACATACGGCGGCGGATGGAAGGGTGTTGCGATGCGTATGCGTGTGCGTTCATCGTTGCACACCACACAGGATGGTGGTGGTGGCCACTACCTCCCCCCGTGGCCGACGAGCCTCCCAGGCAGACAGGACCAAGTCAGACAGGGACACCGTGTCGCACAGGTGAGGCAGGCAGGCAGAGAGGCAGCCAGGCAGGCAGGCACATACATGATTTGGTGGCCTCTTATCCTATATCCTCGTCTGTGTGTGACGTGACAGGATGACTATTATGATGCTGACGATAGCGACGAGTCTCCCCCGCCGGCGTGTCCCCCTGCCTATCGCGGCCGCCGTCCCGACCTGCCGCCACCCATGCCATCGCCATCGCCAGCACCACCAGCACCAGCACCACAGCCACAGCCACAGCCACAGCAACAGCCGCGGGACAACCACAGGCATGGACACACACGTGTCCTGCATTGGAGGGAGGGAGGGAGGAAGCTGTGACATGGAGTGAGTGTGCTTTGTGTATGTGACGTCAGGGTGCGTGAGTTGGAGGCAGCGTTGCGTCGTGCGAAAGATGAGTTGGCGGCAAAGCGGCAGCAGCACCATGAACTCGCGGACAGGTGCGTACAAGCCAAAGAGATGGACGTTGCTCATATGGACGTGTGTGTGTTGTGTGTGTGTGTGTGTGTGTGTGGTGCAGCGTTGCGAGGCTGGAAGCCGACACTCGTCGCAAGATCAGCCGGGCGGAGGAGGCCAGGGCCCTCCAGGCCCGACTCAACAACATGGCCCGCAACCTCGACATCACCAACCCACTCAAGTAAACCATTCACCCCGCACCACCCCACACCACCCCAGACACAGCCATTCTCCCTCTCCCTCTCTTTCGCTCAGCTACACTCGGGCCCATGTGCAAAACGCCTGCACGATCACCGAGCTGCATGACCTGAACGACGAGCTCAAGGCGGCTATCGAGACGGCTGACCGGCGGATCGATGCGGCTGAGACGGCGGCCAACGGCTGGCGGGATGAGCGCCATCGGCTGGACGGACTCCTGCGCACCATCACACAGCGACTGGATGACTGAATGGGGTCAACTGACGCACAAAGACACTGAGAGGGGGGAGATAGATATGGGGGCGGGAGTCAGGGAGTTGCGCCAGATTGCGTCTCGCTCGGCTGTGTCCTTTCTTGCCGTCAGTCACGCCCATCCCACTATTTGACGCTGCCGCTCTCAAATAGTGGGATGGGTCCCACAGACGGACAGAGAGGAAGGCCCTTGCGTGGCGTGGGTGAGTGGATGGAGGTTGCGTGTACACACATACATACATTCATATGGCTTGGACAAACTGATTCATTATGATGGCCATGATGATGGCAGATCAACTGCAGAGCCGAAAGAATGTTGTTTCCGAATTGATGTGTTAAGCCATCCAGGTGAAGTCACATTCGCCCGTCATTCATTGTACAGGTTCGGTTCGTCCCCCTCTCGTCGCAGCTGTACTGTGTGGACACTGAAAAACAGAGAGCCTGCAGCCAGCCTCCACAGTAGTGGATGGCCCGTCTAGCAAGCCAACAGCTGCTGACAAAACCGATTGCCACATGGTGACTAGAGAACACTCAGTACAGCTATGCACGGTGATGAATGCTTACATACTTACACACCCTCTCCCCCCCTCCCGCCATCCCTCCCTCCCTCCTTCCCTCCCTCCCTCCCCCACCCGCCCCCCTCTGTGTGTGGTATGTCGTCATGTGAGGCTGACAGCAGGCCCGGCACCCGTCGCTCGTCTGTGGTCGTCGTCGTCATCATCCTCCGGTAGCTCTGTGTACTCCTCTATCGGCCCCTGTGATGGTGTCCCATTACGCGCCTGCACCTGCATCTGCTGTGATTGTGTCTGTGGGGGCGGCAGGGATGCTCGCGCGTTGGTCCTCTTCTGTTGCTGTTGCTGTTGGTGCCGCTGCTGGTCCGGCGGGAGGGCGGGTGGTGTGGGTGGTGGCTTGATGGTGCCGAAGAGCTGCATCGTGGCCTTGAATATCTTCTGGCTGCCCCTTATGGCCGGCAGCTGCAACCCCAGGATGAGAAACAGCTTCACGCGGTACTTGAGGGGCAGCCGCCATGACGACTCGAACAGCCCGTCGATGAGCGCATATGCCACCCAGTACTCCAGCCACCGTGTTTGGGCGCTGTACGTCTGCCCCTCTAGGATGGACAGGGTGCGGTAGATGGGGTACAGGGTGCCCAGGATGAGGCAGCCGTAGTAGATGAGTGGGTAGACCGTCCAGAAGAAGATGAAGGCCAGGAAGAGCTGCACCCACCCCGTGCGGACCACCTCGACCGCCCAGCTGATCTGCAGCGGCACCAGCATCCGCAGACCCGACGCCATGAAGTCGCCCACATTGTCAAACAACACCTCAGCAGGGCTCGGCCCGCCCCCGCCCGACCCGCCCCTTATCCGTACAAACGTGTCAATGGTCAGGGTGAGCGCCTTGGCGATCGACCGCAGCAGCAGGTGGTCGTTGAAGAGCACCGATATCAGCAGCACCAGATGGAAGACGATCTCCACGTCCTGCCACACCGTCATGCGGTCCACCAGACGCCCCACAAAGGGAATCGTCTCCACCAGCAATATCGACCGGGATACCGCCCAAAACACCAGCGCATAGTAGATGTCCCGAGAGCTGGGCGCCGTGGCGGGGGCAGTGGATGTTGCTGCCTTGTTGAGCCTGGCAGGCGTGCTCATGCGGCCTCTCAGGATGCCCAGCGGCGATGACTGTGGTGATCTCTGAGGGGCTGGAGTGGTTGGGGCCGGGGGCGCTCTCAGGAGCGCCTGTGTCGACAGCACGGCCGGCATAAGCACTGTGGCGAGCAGCGATGCGGCCGGGCGGATGTAGACGAGTGATTGTGGCGGCAGACCGAACCGCAGCAGCATCCAGAACAGCAGGCAGGTGATATAGGGCGCCATAGTGATGAGCAGGTGCAGCAGCCGCTGGACGAAGCCCCGCCGCCAGCAGTAGAAGAAGACGGCCGTCACGCCCATCGCGAGAAAGGTCATGTTGCGCGTGCGCGGGTCCATCTCCCTGAAGGTGAGGACGATTCGCGTGACGAGCGGCTGTATGTAGGGGTACACCCATCTGGCGAAGTAGAAGACCACCTTAAGCAGCGACAGCAGTGCCGTCCAGATGGCGGCGAGCGCCTCGGCGCCCTCTCTGAAGGCCACTTGTATGTTGAACCACAGCTCGTGGACGGCATCTTGGAATAGCAGCGGTGTGAAGCCCGCGTCATCCGGGAAGGGGAAGAAGGACACGGTGTCGACGAGAGGGATATCGGCGTCCTTGTGCATCAGCCCGCCTGCGTTCAAGTCGTCCATGTCGGGAGCCTCAGGCGCAGCAGCATCGGAAGAAGGGAAGTCGGTTGTGAAAGCCTCCTCCATGGTAAGGTGTAGATGTCGGCCTATGGCGTTGTTGACTTTGCTTTCCTTTCGCCGATTTTCCTCTTCTTCGCAATCTAAGCTCGCAGACGATCGGGAGGGAAAAAAGGAAAGGGAGTTGAAGGGAGTTGAAGCAACAGTGAGATCCCCATCGCTCAGTGACAACAGCAGAAGCGTCAGAGGAGGACAGGATGGGTACCCACACCGAAAACACGCACTCCCCCATGACTCCATGAGTTTGAAGAGTGGCCCTCTCTGTGTGGTTGCAGACGGAAACCAAGGGCAGGAGGAGTGGGCGGCAGGTGTGCTCACGGAGGAGGAGAGGACACATGAATTCTCTGTTCTGTGGTGTCTCTTTCTCTCTCCCTCCCCTCATCATCAGAGCCACCACATGGCTTCATGCCCTCCGACGAGCTCCGAACGGCCCTTTGGGCCTACATTCATGGGGGAGAGCTGCAAGACACGGGACATGCCGACCGACTGGCGGCCGAGAGAGAGAGGCGGGAGAGGGAGGAGCAGCGACAAGAAGGTGGGAATTGACGGCTGTGTTGAAACCATGGTCCCGCTGATGCTTTCTGACGGCATGCCCTCTTCCATGCAGCTGATTCGCTGGCAGCCGACGGAGCTGCCCTTGACGGAGAAGCAGCAAGCAGACAGGGGGAGCACGGCCACGAGATGGCACAAGAGGAAGGTCTGCAAGTGAAACACCGCGAGAACACAGGCGGGGATGGCATCCATCGGCCGCTGTATGCAGGAGAAAGAGCTGCAGACGTGGGACTAGAGGAGGGAGGGGAGGGCGAGCGCGATAACGAAGAGGACAAACGAGAGGCAGGTACGTCTAAGTATCATGTTATTAAGGCATCCACGACTGCTATCCATGCCGCCTGCCTTTCTTTCTGTCGGCCAGCAGATGAGCAGGATGAGCAGGGAGCAGGGGTGAGGGAGGTGGTAGAGGGAGATCAGCGACAGACAGGTAAGGATGACTCGCAAACAGGAACACATAGACGCTATGCGTAGAGCTTGAAAGTGTGTCTCTGTGGCATCCTCAGCTGAGGAAGGGGAGCATGAAAAAGTAAACACAGGAGAGACAGGGACTCGTTCGATAGACAAGCCACGTACGTATCAAACAGGCCACGAACGTATGCATGCTGCTGGTATCCCTTAATTGCATGCACTCTTCCGTGCAGGTGGTGCCAGGAGACGATCGAGCTGCGTTTGACGGAGCAGCAGGGAGGAGAGGAGAGGACAACGGTAACGGCGACGCAGGAGACGGAGGACTGACAACACCCTTGCATGAACCAAAAACTCCTGCGCCACAAGTGTGCATGGCACTTCTCGCAGATAGAGAGGCAGACAACACCAACGAGGCCGAGCTCGAGACGGATACCCAGGGGGGAGATCGTGCACAGGAAGACCAGCAGCAGAACACTGATGAGCAGCATGTGGAAGACCAGCAGGGTAGGTGAGGGACGGCGCCCTCCTCCCCCGCAGGCACAGACAGGTATGCACCCTCCCCATCTCTTCCGTGCGGCAGGCGAGAGCAAAGAGGGCGAGACAGGCAGCAAGGGAGGCGGTGGACAGGCCAGCCCAGGCGACGAGAACCAGATAGAGAGCACTGACCAGCACTTGGAGCAGCATGTGACTGGTCAGCAGGGCGGGGCGCTGGATACACCAACACCCAGCGGCATAGACATTGATTGATACTCAGTTCCCTCCTCCCTCGTGCTGGTGTCTCTCCGTGTTGGCAGGGTCCCTCGGCGGACAGCAGCCGGCGCCTACAACACGTGTTGCCCCTGCAGTGATCTCGCACCAGTACTATGCCCACCCGATTCCCCGCGCAGGACCTCACTTAACCATGATTCCCGTAGGCTGCTGCACTGCAGTCACATGGACCTATCTATCCATTACTGTGCTGTTGTCTGGTCTGCATGATGCAGCTCCAGCACGTTGTGGGTTTCCCTCCTCCCCCATATGTGGTCGGCGGCCGTCCTGTCTTTCCTCTGGTCCACAAGAAGCCGTTCCACCACTATCGTCTGGTCGGTCTGTGCAAAAGGAAAGACCCACACACGCAGGCAGAGTTGTTGGCCGGTTACGTGTTTTGCTTGTATTATCTATCCACAGGCTGTCGGCCAGACGGGCACCATCCCGACGTACGCGGGCGTCACACAGCCGGCCATTCCCAGACGTACGTGGGTGGCCACACATGCACACGCAATCATTGTGCAATCAATGCTTGCCTGTCTGTCTGTCTGTCTGGCTGTCTGTCTGGCTGTCTGTCTGTCTGTCTGTCTGCTCTCTTCATCCCTGCAGGCAAGTCGACAAAGAAAAGCTGCGGCTGCTCTCTGTGGTGATGTGTGGTGCGGTCGGTGTGCCACACTCTTTCTGCCCGGTGATCCATATGTACTTTGGATTGGGAGCACTGGCGTGTAGTGAGTGAGCTTGAGCCTTTGGACACTGAAGCATAGGATAGATAGGTTGTGGGCGATATACAATAGGTGGGTGCTGTGGCGTTGTTATTTTTGACGTACACATACATCAGGCAGCCCCCGTCCGTCCGCCAATCTGTACAGCTACTCCGTCAGGCATCGACACTCGTACACACACACACACACTCACACACATGCAGCTATGCTGTGCAGCACACGAACGCGTCAGCTAAGAATGGCCCCACTGCCCGTCTGCTATCAATGAATGATCCACCACACACAGAAGGCGGCCTGATAGACCCCACCACCACCACCACCACCACCCAGACACACCCACCTTCTCCTCACCACCCAACGCCTCCTGGATGTCCACCCTATCCAGCTTGATGGGCATCTTGTCGGCCAGCAGCCGCCCGGCAGCACCACCCATTTCGCTCCGGATAGACAGCTCTGAGGCCTTCGGGAACGGCTGGAGGTGTGTGATGATGGCGGGGTGGGGCGATGGGGTGTTGGCGGGGGGCTGCAAGTCAGAGGCATTCCCGACCTCCACCGCCGTGGCCCAGTCGAATGAAATGCTCGATGCGATGTCGATGGCCGCTGGGCTGGGGTTGGTGTGCGGGTCGGTGAGGCCGTGCTGATTGGAGATGTACTGCACCAATGTGGCCTTGCGTGCCAGCTGCTGCATCATGGTCTTGAATGCGGGTGAGGGGCGGGAGGGGAAATAGGTGTCGTAGAAGATGGAGAGGTCGAGATCGAAAGGCCGGTTGTGGGGAGAGTGAGTTGAGCGTCCGATCGGCAGCAGGTGACGACCAGCCGGTCCAGGGCCAGCAGGACGGGCAATGTGAGGCGGCTGATGCCGTCGTGGGCAGCAAAGTGCACGTGCAGCTGCTGAAGCAACTGTCGGCAGCCACGCGTCAGCAGCACCTCCTGAAGGAAAGAGCACAGCAATTGGAGAGGTCACAAAATGACCCACATCCCCCACTGTACATGTGTGTGCGTTGTGGTCACCTGAAGCCTGTCGATGCCCGCCGGATCGTCACCTTCCACCAGGATGGTGCCGATGCGCTCTAAGTTGCTAAGTGGCCCTCCCTGCTGCCCAGCAGATGCCTCAGGGACCCCCTCAAACACACGCGCCCACCCCTCACCCCCCAACGCCCCGTCGACGTGCTACAGCGAGCGGGACGAGCTGATGATCTGGCCAAAGCTGTCGGGGTGCCATACTTCCTGCCGCACGATGGCGAGCGAGGGCATCCGCCAGCCCCGGTCGGCCAGCCCCTGATGCTCGCGGGTCAGACCGGCGATGGTGGTGAGCGCGTGGAGGGTGGGGGGCGGATCGAGAGGATCGGGTTGATGAGTCCTCGGAACGGCCTGCCTCAGCGAGTCGGTCAGCCGAACGCCTTTTTCGATGGTCATGGTCTGCAGGGTCCCGCCGCCCATGTTGGCTGCACGTCGGCCGGCAACGTGGCCCTCCACCATGGCCACGAACACGTCCAGACACCACATGGGGAAGCCGTAGGCAAATCGGCCGAAGGGGTAGCAAAGAACGACATGCGTCAGCTTCGTCAGGTATGTCGCCCATTCGGTGACCAAACCGATGGTGGTCCTCTCCCAAAACGACCGCTCGTCTTTGTCGGCCGCGCTGATGGTGAGGTGGTGCTGCTTGCGGGCGGCGTTCTGCCACGTCAGGGGCGGCAACTGCAGCTGCGTGAGCAGAGGAATGGGTAGGAAGGCCATGACGATGCTGAGGAGACCGGCCTGCACACACCACACAGCACGCGGGACGGTAAGAGATATGCTTCAGGGTGTGCATGCCCTCAGTGCGTCGGGGCCACACTCACCGTGTCAGCGATTTGTTGCCGAAGGTTGCTCTCCCTATCCTGACGTCGCTGCCGCTCCTCATTACTCTCACCACCACCAGCAGCAGATGCACACGCAGTCGAAGCCGCAGCAGCAGCCGGCGCGTGCACGGCCTGCACCCATACACCCAACACACATAAACACAGCCAACACCCGCTGGTGAAATGCGCCAGTGCAAGCGGTGGTCTGATGCGCCTCACCTGTCTACCCTCCTCCATGGCTAGATGTAGAACTGATGCAGCGGATTGGCCTCTGTCCGCTGCGATGAGAACAAACTCCAAAGGCTTCTCTGAGGCGGCGGCTACTTAAGCGATGCTCTCAGTCCCTCCCTGATGCACAAACACACACATCACAATCAGCACATGAATGGCGAACTCCAGGACGGACGCTCGAATGCTTCTCACTCCCTGCGAGGCGTACCAGGCACAATGCGGGACCTCGGGCGCCCTTCGATGCTCCCCCCCCGCCAGCCCCGATCTTGCGAGCTCAAGATGTTGGCGTCTTTCGCGGACGGCAGGGTCTCTATGAGAGGCTATACCATCCCTCTTGGCAGATCGCGGCTCTGCTGTGTGTTTTCTTCTTCACTCGATCCATCGGAATGGACCGTCCTACCCACGCACAGGCCCCCGCGACTGTCTGCCCGTCGTCAGCTACAGACCAGCAATCGCCTCAGCATTGTAGTGGATGTAGAACCGCCTTAACCTACTCCTCTCTTCGCCCGCTGTCAGCCATCCGTCGAGAGCCTCGATAAAGGCCAGCACGTCACCATCGACCACCGTCTTGTCCCCATCGCCGTTGAGCGATGTTCGGATGAATGCCGGTAGGTAGGAAAGAGGAACACCCATCCCCCCACAGCGGCTCAGCTTGGGGGCATCCGCAGCACGCTCAAGGCCAGCATGACGCCACTCTGACGGCCGGAAGACGTTTGTCAGGGCGAGGGTGCAGTCGATCTTGGCGGTCCGCACGTTGGCCTGCAGCTCCGGGTGGCCGTGTGGGTGTCGGCGGCAGTAGAGCTTGGCTATCGCACCGGCAGAAGTGCGGTCGTTCAGGCGCAGAGGGTAGCCCCACACGATGGTCGATGTGTCGTCGCCCGCCCCATCCAGGAAGCCCCTGAGCGCCCCAGCATCCAGGCAACCGCCAGCCTCTCTCGCCAGCAGGGCCACAAAGCCATCAACTACTGTGGCGGCACCTCGGCAGGAATCGAAGTCGAAATAGAGCAGGACGCGGGTCGACCGAAGGTATGAGGGGTCTCTGGCATTCACGTCGCCGCGTAGCACGTCGTGAGGCTGCCGGGGAGGTCATCGAGGGGCAGAATGGTTGGGAGAAGGCTGGCAGGGGCCGAGGGGATGAACGAAGTGACCAGACGCTGGTCGTCTGAGACCGTGATGCGCCTCACGAAAGGGCCGCATTTGGTCTGGATCAGCTCATACTGCCGGGCGGCAAGCAGGGACATCTCCGTGGTCCTCAGTTGCAGCTTGAGCCCTTCGTCCATCGCATCGATGTCGTCATCCGTGATGGTCAAAGGCAGCGCATCGATGTCACCCGTCCGATGAAGCATCGCCAAGTAGCCAGACCATCGCTGCAGGCTCCTCTGCCTCTGGCGGTCCCGCAGCAGGCAGTAGACCACAAAAGTAATGTTGGCATGCCGCTGGACGCCGAAGCCGAGTGTGTTGCTGTCTTCGTCTTGGTTGAAAGCATCAATGATTTGCCTCAGCTCGGTCTCTGGCGCAATTCCGGTGCGGTAGTCTTGGCGAGCGACAGTTCGGAGCGTTGCGATGGAGTCAATCGGCAACAGCGCCAACACGGGAGTCTTCAGCACTTGAAGAATGTCAGCCAGAGTCATCGCCATTGTTCTGTGTATGAATATTTGCCTCAATTGTGGTTCGGAAAGCGACCGAAAGCATCCGCTCTGGTCGCTTTCCGGCGTTAAACCTTAGCTAAACCATCCGCAGGGTTTCACGTGCAGAGCCCGTTGTAGCCACAAAACAGCACTCCGACTCATAGCTTTCGCGACTTGGTCGGGCAATGGCTGCCAGCTGTAGTGCCGCAGCCCAGGTGAGCCAAACGAAATCCCTACATCATGACGTGAACCATTTGTGCTGTCTGTGTGTGGTTTGTCATTCGGTTGGTGCAGATGAGCGCTGTGATATGGGCGCAGCTGCTGCCCCGGGTAGAAGGCTATCGGATGAAGCAGGCTCAGGTATCAGCTGACCAACACACATACCAACTCATCCATTCCATGCAGTACATCCAAAGCTCATCGGCTGCTTGCTTGTGTGTGTGTGTGTGTGTGCGTGGTGCAGGTCAACAGCTGCATTGATCAACTCCTGCAGATGGACACCGCTGCTTCGATGGCACCACTGGTGCGGCAGGCTGCCAAGCAGCACACTGACAAGCGCAGCACAAAGGCCTCTGTGTCATGTTGCTCTCGTCTTGGTGAGTTATTTGTCAGGTGGTGGATAAGTTGAGTCGTCAATTTACTGCTGCGTCGGAGCTGCTGGCCGAGCTGGCAGAGACCATAGACTCGACCATCGCACTGACAAGACATAGCCGCACGCAGGTGGGTGAGTGAGTGACCACAGGCAGGCACAAACACAAGACCCACACTGATGTAGTGCGCTTGGCTTATGCGTGTTGTGTGCATGTCCTTCTGTGTGCAATCAGGCCCGACGGTTGCACCTGACTGATATCCCTGCCAACGCCATCAGCGTCGTGATGGAACTGTCTGACCTCACCACGGTCGCCCACCTCAAGTCGACAGCCCGACCCATCAGAAATGCCCTCCGGCAGATCGCCCGCCGCTGTCGGCTGCCGAAGGCCATCGAGCGGACAGGGGTGGGCGGTGTGGTGCAGTTCGACGATCAGCTGAGCCACGGCGATGTGATGAAGGCCATGTGGGTGATGGAGGAGGGGGGCGAGGGCGGCTGGGGGGAGGTGGGCGACACACTCAGAGTCTCTGAACACTGCGGCTATTACCAGCTGCCGGTCACTGTGGGTGCCGGAGACCTGCAGACACACGCCACCAAGGCGGTAAGCACGACACACAGAAGAGGCAATGGGTGAGCTGCTGGATGTGTGTGTGGTCTTCATTTAGGGCTTCTTGGCACTGCCCCGTTTCTGTGCGCAGTGGATGCTCGTCGGCCGCCGTGTGGCCTTCCGTCGCCGCACTGGCCAGCCGGACGGCACTCTCCAGCTGTTCCGCCACAACGATCAGATCCGCGCCATTCGCAATCAGCCCAACTTCACCATCACACTCAACCCGCCCCTCCCCCTCCCCAACCGCCCCGTCCATCCCTTCTCGCAGCACCCCTTCACCCACCACGTCAAGCCACACGACCCGCCAGTCCGCCACCGCATTGGATGGCACGACAGTGTGGGCTGGGGGACGGGTTGTGTGAACGGCGGGGGCGTTTACGCATCGGCGAGTTCGACGCTGAAGAGCCTGGTCCTGGCTCACAGGATTGAGGCTCTGGGCGGCTTCACCGACTCGCCGACAGTGGTGGTGGACCGGTGAGTGGATGGAAGGCACACAATGAGAGGGCGAATGGCTATGTGGTGCGTTGTCGATGTGTGTGTCAGTCGTGTGCATGGTGGCCACCTCGACCGCATCATGACCCGATCACCACATACGCCGCTCAATGGATGCTCGGACGTGTTGGCATGGGACGCGGACAGTGGGGCTTGTGGGCAGCTGCATGTGTTGATGACGTCTGCCGACGCATTCATGGCATGGATTTCCTTCATCATCCCCCCAGGCAACAGCCACGACGGTATGCACACACATTGACAACACGTCGGATCATCCGCTCCTCTGTTGTCTGCGTGCAGTCCTCGTCATCATTCATACCAGCGAGGCGCCAGCAGTAGGTGTCCCTCAGGATGCGCCCTTCGCCCATTGTTTCCCCCTGACGGCCGCCATGGCGCGCCGCGTCCTCGGGCCGATCGCTGCCATCGTGCTCGACGGCCAGGCGCCATGATCATGAAGGTGAGAGCCACATAATGGCATGGTGATGCGCGTGTGTCTTAATCCTTTTCTGTATGTTGATGGATGTTGCGCAGGCACATCGGCAGGCTGCACGTGTTGAATAGAGGGCGTTGCAGGTGGCGTGCTGGCAGTGTCGTGTGCGTCTTTGGCTGACTGTAGTACTGCGGCGAAAGGGCGGCAATGGTGTGGGAGCGATGAGGAGGGGGCAGGTGTAGGTGGCCGACGGTGGCGGTGGCGGGATGGGCGGTACTGCGGTTGGGGTGAGGTACTTCACCTGATGCGATGTGACGGTACGGCATTCGTGTGTGGTCGGTGGGTGTACAGTGGAGGGGTGGCAGTCGTGTGGTGTCTATATGCGTGTGTGTAAGTGGAAGTGAGAGTGAGAGTGAGATGGGTGTACTTTCTTCAGATCAGATCATCTGTGTCAGATACATGTGACCACTGCACCTGGCAGACAGATCGCCCGTTCGTTGACGCATTGCGCTTGTCCAGATCGTCCAGGCAGTTGTGCTTGCCAGACATGACTGCACGTAGCTGACATACACGAATGGGTCTCTGCAGCTATCGTCTCTGTCGTTCGTCACACCGCTCACACTCGCAACCCCCGACCAACACGCACACACCAAAAGGGATACCCAGTAGGCTGGTTGGATGGATGAATGGAATCGACAGCAAGCAAAGTGAGGAAGAATGGGCCAGGATATATCTACGCGTTGATATCATGTGTGGCTATGGGTGGTATCTCGCTAGTAGTCAGACTCATCGTCCGTCGACTCCGGCTCCTCCTTCAGCTCAGCGTCCTCGTCGAACTTGTCCACCTTGATGCCCCCCTCGCTCAACGCCTTCCGCAGCTGACGGCATCTGCACACACGATGCAACGCATCAGAGCATCAGACGCATGCATGCAGGCGACGCGAATGCATCTGCAACATGTGCGGTGTGTAGCGGTGTGCATGGGCAGCTTACGACATCTTCTCCATGGATTTGACGCCGAGCGTCACGTCGGACCCCGCCCTCGCCCCCTTGGTCTCGTTGATGTCGCTCTCGTACAATGTGGCCTTGATGAACAGGCCGCCCCCCTCGCTCCCCTCGGCCTTGACCAGGCCGTACAGCAGGGTTCTGTCCCGCTTGGCATCACGGAAACACCACTTCTCGTGGTAGCGCACGGCGAACCACCGTCGCACGATGCTCATTTCTGTTGGCAGGTGTCAGTATCTTCTGCTCTCTGCTCTTTCTCCGCAGCAATCAGCTCCGTCTGCGCAAATCGCCGCTCTGATTTCGAGACAGCTGGGGGCGGGGGCTTTCGAGACCCGCGTCTCTCGGCCAGCTCGGCTTGTAAACGATCGGATCTTTTCCGCGAAAAAGGCTCGGTCAGCGTCATCTGTTCGCCTTTCTGTCAGCAGCAAGAGAGCAGCCGTCATCACCATGAAGTACCTTCTCTGTGTCCTCCCGGCTCTCTTCCTTGCGGCGTCAGCGGCGTTCCTGGCGGATGAGCCGTCCAAGAACAGACCTATATCGAAGGTGGGTAGGCTGGGAGGCCGTGCAGCCGACCGGGTGGCCACCTACACACCACGCAGCACACGGCAGACACAGATCAGATCTGGGGAAGATCAGCCGACACAAAGATCTCTGCAGCAAATCAGATCTGTGCGCCATCCGCTGTGTGCAGGTGGTTGTCCTGCTGAAGGATATGGCCAAACAGCTGGAGAAGGAGCAGGTACGCACCCACACACACCCTGCCTTCACCACACCACATCCACAGATCTTTGTCATCTCCCGTGTGTGTGTGTGGGTGTATCTTGTGTCAGGAGGATGATGAGGAGGTGTACGACAAGTTGGCGTGTTGGTGCGAGACCAACGACAAGGCCAAGACCAAGGCCATCGAGAAGGCCGAGGCCAAGATCACCGAAATCACCGCAAACATCGAGGAATACACCGCCACCGCAGCAAGGCTCGAAACTGAGATCAAGAACCTACAAGTAAGCCACCCCTACCCACCCCACCCCACCCCGCACACGCACCCGCACGCAGATCCATCCCTTCTCTCTTTTCGCCTCTCTGTGTGGATGTGTGTGTGTAGGAGGAGATAGCAGCGAATGTGGAGGCCTTGGCCAAGGCGACGGAGATCCGCAACAAGGAGCACGAGGAGTTCTCAGAGGAGGAGAAGGACATGCTCCAGTCCATCCAGGCCCTCAAGGCCGCCGTCACCGTCGTCTCCAAACACCACACCGCGCCCCCCGCCGCGCTCGCCTCCCTCTCGACCGTCATCAAGCACCAGCTGCACCGTTACCCCACCATGATCAGCAGCAAGCAGCGTCGAGCGGTGCTGGCCTTTGTGCAGCGCCAGGACCCCTTCAGCAAGAGCCCGACCTTCAAGCAGCCATATGCACCGCAGAGTGGAGAGGTTGGCACAGAACCTTACACCCCATGTGTGTGTGCGGTGGATATGTGTGTGTGTGTGTGCGTGTGTGTGTGTCAGATCTTCGGCGTGCTCCAGTCAATGCAGGAGAGCTTCGAGCAGAACCTCAGCGACGCACAGAAGGAGGAAATGGAGAGACAAAAGGTCAAAAGGGAGAAGGGGCTGGGTGGGTGGAGGCATTGGCCATCTCTCTTCTGTGTGTGTCACTGTATCTTTTCACATGTGCAGGCATTTGATGAGTTGAAGGCTGGCAAGGAGGCGGAGATTGCGGCTGCCCAGGAGTCGGTCGACACCAAGACCACACAACTCGCCGACAACAACGATAAACTCGCTCAGGCAAACAGCGAACGCTCCCAAACACAGGTTACGTGACGGCCGGCCATTTTGGGTGTGATGGTCAATGCAGGCCAAGGACGAGGACACGCGAAACTCGCTGTCTGCGGACCAAAGGTACCTCATGGACCTCAAACAGAAATGCCAGATGACCGACACCGAGTGGGCCGAACGACAGAAGACACGACAGGTCAGATCTGCGCACGCACAGACAGACAGGAAACAGCAGAGGCACGTACTCGTGCGCTCCGTCAACGCCTGTATGTGTGTATGTGTGTGTGTGTGTGCAGGAGGAGATGCAGGCTGTGAGCAAGGCGGTAGCCATCCTCAGCAACGACGACGCCCACGACACCTTCACACGCACATTCAACCCCTCACTACTACAAGTAACCACCCCGCACGCCCTCTCACCCTCCACACATCCTTCTCTGTCACTGTCAGACGTCAGTGTCTCGCAAGTCGGACCGTCGTGAGCGGGCGGCGTCTGTGCTGCGTGCTGCTGGGAGGGACTTCCACAACAAGCAGCTGACGCAGCTGGCGACAGAGGTGCAGCTCAGCGCGTTCGGCAAGGTCAAGAAGGCCATCGACGACATGGTCACACAGCTGAAGCAAGAGAAGCAGGACGAGATCAAACACAAGGACTGGTCAGTGGGTGGGATGGAGCAATGAACGTTTCAAGGGGCTGCGTGCAGGTCAGCGATGGATGTGTGCTGTGCTGTGTTGGTGCGGTGCAGGTGCGTAAGTGAGCTGAATCAGAACGAGCGCCAGAACGAGCTCAAGACACGCGACAGGGGCGACCTCAAAGTCAAGACCGACCAGCTGCAGCAGACCATCGAACAACTCACAAAGGTACCCACCCCCTCCTCCTACCCCCTACC